TGTGCAGTGGGTCGTCGGGTCGTGTGTCGGCAGGCTGAAGTTCTGCTGCTCGACGACGGAGAGGACGTTGTTGAAGTTGAGGTTGCGGGACTCGGTGCGCATCCAGCCCTCGCGCATGTCGACGACGCTCGTCTCGAGGATGTAGCTGGCCTTGTCGGTGCTCGAGCCGCCGCCGGTGATGGAGGTGGGCAGGAGCTTGAAGATGGGGGCCGGCAGACGGGACTTTTTGAGGTGGATGCGGGTCGTGTGTAACCTGCCCGTGTCGGGATCAATGTGGCTGTTGATGGTGTCGGTGCTCATGACGTGGGTCGAGAAGGGATTGAGCTTGGGCGAGGAGTAGCGCAGAAAGTAGGCGAGGGTGACGGCGGGGAAGGGGTGGGAGTAGGCATGGTTGGTGGTGTGGGTGAGGACCATGGTGGGCGAGTCTGAACGTTTGCGATGGGGGGGGGCGAGTTTCAATCAAGGATGGGTGAAGCGTCGTGTTCAAATCGGAACAGAGCTGAGGTTATCGAATAGGTCGTGGAAGGGCGTGTGGCTTTTGCGCTGGCGAGCTTCTCACGGTTGGTGGTGGTGGTGGTGGTGGTGGTGGTGGTGCGTCCTCGCCGAAGGAGCAAAATTTGGCCCGAGGTGGTTCGGTCGCCGTACGAATCTTTCGATCCTGGCGCACGTCCGAACAGGAGAGCGTATTCAATTCTTCATCGGAAAGAAAAAAAGAAAAAGGCAGAAGAATGGTGTCGAAGAAAGAGACGACAACGATGGAGGAGGGAAAGGGGGGAGAAATGGATGACGCGGAAGAGGGAGGTGGTTCAGACGGTGAGGAGAAGGATGGTGGTACGAAAGCGAATGGCGGCAGGAGGTCGAGGTCCGGAAGAGCGTGGAACGATGGGGAGCTCTCGACTCTTCGTGCCCAATGGAGCGAGCCACTGGTACGAGCCAGTGAGCAGCGAGCCAGCGAGCCAGCGAGCCAGCGAGCCAGTGAGCAGGAGAGGCTGGCCAAGCAGGAGAGGCTGGCCAGAGAGGCTGACCTGGGGGGGAAAAAAGCGATTTTTTGATTGGCTGCAGCGGCGGAGGGTGACACGCGAGCTTGGGCCGACTGTGGCGAGAATCACATGACAGAGTGTGTTCTGTCTGGACTACCTTACCGAGCTTCACCGAGCCCTCTACCATGCAGACCGATCCACCGAGACTGGCCCTTTGGGTGCCTCCATCATGTCCCCCCTCCTCGATCCATCTACAACTAGCAGCAAGCCACGATGCCCTTGAGCTCTGCGCTCGGACTCGCCCATCTCTGCCAAGGCCCGCGTCGGTAGGGTTTAGCGCCGTCCAAGCTCTCCTTCGTACCTCTACATTGTACATCGGTCGGCTTGTCACGCGCATGTCAGGTTCACCGTTCACGACGTACGCCCACTTCCGATACACACTGGAGGAATTCGCCATGACTACAGCAGGCTAGATACACGCACTGCCTCGCAAGCCTCGCAGGCCTCGCTGCCTCGCAAGCCTCACAGGCCTCGCTGAGCCTCAGAAGCCTCACCGTGTCGCCTTGCCCTTGCCGTCGGCCTTGTTGATCCACTGCAGCACCACGTCGGCAATCTCCTCGCTGTTGCGCTCCTGGTGCAGAAAGTGGCCGTTGCCCCTGATGGCGAGGTCCTCGAGCTTGATCCACTCGGGCTTGCCGCCGACCTGCTTGAGGTAGTCGATGATGCAGTGGTCGTACGTGATGTGCACGCTCGCCTCGCCCGTCTTTTTTTTTTTACGGCACGCTCGCCACCTTGGGCAGCTGCCGCGCCGGCTCGACCCGGCGGAAGCAGTTGCGCTAGATGTGCAAACGTTGCCGACGCTTTCCACCCCCATTTTTTTGGGGGGGGGAGAAAAAAAAACCGCCCCG